CATTACGGTAGCCGTGCTGCTGGCCGGGGTACTGCTGGCCGGGGTACTGCTGGCCGGGGTACTGCTGCTGTGCTGTGCTCTGCTGGTACCCGGTCTGCTGGCTGTACTGGGAGCTGCCTGCAGGGAGGAGAGCCCAGCTCGTCCTGGTGGTGAAGCATGAGGCTCCAGGCCACTCCCCACCCCAGGATGTCCCTGCCGCAGCGGTCTGAGCATGTGCTGTATTTTCTGTTGTCATTTTGTGAAAATACACATGGAAACATTCCTCCGGAAAAGCAGAGAACAGCAGCCAGCACTGTGAAGAACAGGGCTAGCGGCGGTGCTGGGGTCGAACCACGTCCCGAAAACACGCTCAGGCCCTAAGCTGGGTGCCGGGAAGCACCTTCACTGGAGAAGGGTCAGGACAGGGCCGTGCTGGACTGTGGTGCCCACACCCCGGAGCCGGGAGGGGCCAGCCCTCCCAATGCTGTGACCCCACCTGCTGGCTCGGAGCCGGGAGAAGACATCCCTGCAGCCCAGGGGACGGCACGGCAGGCGGGCAGGCGTGCTGTGAGGGCCACGGGGGCACTCTCGAGCGGCCCACTCCTGTTTCAAGGGCGTGAGTGGTGAGGAGGACCTCGGTGCACTGCCTGTTCCCAGCCTCCCGAGGCCGATCCGAACTCACGAAACCTCGCAACTGCCCCGTGCTTGAGACTCACGTGGAATCAGCCCCGGGGCTCGGCCTGAGCCCGGCTGCACGGCGCCCACACCCGCGCTCACCGCCTTCGTAGTAGTGCTGCGTGGACTCCTCGAAGGACCTGTCGTAGCTCTGCTCCGTGTAGGACGACTGCTGATAGGCGTAGTCGCCGTGGCCTGGAGGAGACCGGGATGGCCTCCACTCAGCGCAGCCTAGCCCCCGGGGCCAGGACGACGAGGCGCCACACAGAGCAACTCCAATGGGCCGGGAGACGTGGAGCTGGACAGGAGCCGCCTCCCATGACCGACATGCCCTGAGTGGACAGAGCTTTGGCCGCCTCACATCGGGCCAGACAGCAGCTCCACCTCGTGGTCCCACAGGGCGAGCGGTGGCTCACAGGGGGCCACGGGCACTCAGGGCCGCTGCCTGGCAGTCCCAGGGGCACATCCAGTCCTGTGCTGGTCTCCACCCACCGGACCCAGCAGGCGCCTGGCCTGCTATCCCCGGTGCGCCTCCCAAAGTTGCCGTCCTCTCTCTCTGGCCCCTTTACATGCCACCTGAGCACGTCCAGGACTATCTAAGACGGCAGGAGGGTGGCGTGGGGAGGCCGTCTGCAGACACTGTGACCGGCACCAGGCCGGGCCGAGGCAGGGCAGCCCGTCTCACGGAGGGCTGGCGGCCCTGGGTTCCGGTAGGAGCTCACCGTCAGGGTAGTACTGCTGGCTCCCGGGCTCCGCGGCGCCCTGGCTATGGCCGTACTGCTCGCCGTAGTATTCCTCTTGGCCCAGGTACTGCTGCGAGGAGCCTACAGGCAGGACGCAGCGCTCAGGGCCCCGCCGCTCGGGAGGGGCACCCACACAGCCGCTGGGACAGGCCCGTCTCCCCGCCCCAGCCTGCCTCCAGGCTCTGCAGTTGCAACAACACAACCTGAGCTGACCCCACCTCCCGAGGGGCAGCTGACTGTCAGCAGGCCACGGGCCACCCCCACCAGACACCCTCGACGGCCACAAGCACGCCCACGATGGCGTAGACATGTCGCGGGCCTAGGCCCGTGTGCGGAGGTGGGTCTCACCTTGCTGGGAGGGCCGGTAGGGCGCCATGGGCCGCTGGCCCATCATGGCGATGGACGACTGGCCCTGGTAGTGCTGGCTCCCGCCCTGGGCCGAGCTATAGTGGGACGAAGCCGCCTGCTGGTGCATCATGGGGACTGCAGCAAGAGACCCAGTGACCGGGGAGCACAGGGCGGCCCTGCTGCTCCTCCAACCTGCTCCCTCCCTCGGCTGGTCATCACCACCTGGAGCTGCCCCCGCTCCCAGGGAGAGGCTGTGCTGGCACCCCAGCACAGGGCACCCTAGCCCAGAGGGCACCCGCGCTGGGCCAGCCCCCTGGACACCCACAGGAGCCCCACCCCACGCAGACAGAGCCCCTAGGCCTGCCCCCATGGTGCCGCGCCAGCCCCACTGCCCAACGCCATCTTCTTCCTCCTTGGCCCTGAGCTGTCTCAGGACAAAGCAGTGTCCCTCTGACCACCTCCCAGACTGGCCTTCAGAGTTGGCCTGAGCACATGCGGCCCCATGCCCACAAGAAGGATGAACCACAGCCTCAAGGTCCCCCAGAGAAGGGCGAGCGAGACCGACTTTCATGGGGTATCTCACTGGTGCCGCTGCACTGAGGCCGGTCAACTTCGATGTAGAGCCGAGGGAGGGGTGCACAGGAAGGGCCCAACCGTCCCTCTGGCAGGGTGTCCAGAGTGGCCGCGGCTCTAACACCCTCGTGGCATCAAGACCGGGACGAGCCTCCTGAGCGCTGTCCTGCCTCAGGGATGCACCCGCTGCCATCCCTCCAGATCCCAGACCCACCCCTCAGGGAAGCAGCCCAGCCCCCCCAAACAGGGCCAGTCACTGCGGTCCCAGCCACCACCCGCTCATCCCTCCCTCAGTTCCCCGGGGGCCACGCAGGTGACCTGCACGCATGCGGAGGGGGCCCCAGGGTACCTGGGGTGGACTGCATGTTGATGTTGGCCCGGGACACGTAGCTGCCAATGGCACCCTGCCCCTGCATGGGGACACCCTGCGAGGCAGGGCCCGCATGGCTGTAGCCAGGTCCAGAGCCGTGGCTGCTGCCCGACATGCTCATGGAGGTCGTGGGCAGCGTACTCTGCGCCGTCTGCTGCAT